AAGCAACCCTGTAAGATCAATGCTTTAAATAATAACTCAAAGGAACACTTAATTGCAGACAAATTTTGTTTATATAAAAATAATCAGAAAAAGTAAATCTGTTAAAAAAAAAAAAAAAAAAAAAAAAATATTCATGAAAATCCAACCATTTATATATTATTAAGTAAAAAAGAAATAGTGGAAGATCAATACAGTTAGAGTAAATTAATTCCTTGTTGAAAGAGCACCAATTAAAATTTGATAAATTATGTCCAGCTGGAGAGTAAAACTATTATGCTAAAGAGCTCCATGTCCTATCTTAAAGTTGGAACCTGTATGCAAATTTTTTTTATGACTAAGTACTGTGGTGGAAGACAACCATAGTTAGCTCCCCTCGAACTACTCAACTATAAAAGAAATGGTTAAACTGCACTTATGAACAGTAGTCAAATTACATTGAATAAAGCTTCACAAGTTTAAATGTTTGTTTTAAGTTGGACAAATGGGTACCAAACGAATTGAATGAAAACCAAAAGAATCATCATTATGAAGTCTGTTACCCATTTCTCAATTGCATTGTGACATGTGATGAGAAATGGATACTATATGACAACCAACGATGTTCAGGGCAATGGCTGAATTGAAAGGAAATTCCTAAACTCTTTCAAAAGACAAAGTTTCATCAAAAGGTTATGTAGACATTTTGGTTGTATAAAGCTGGTTTGATTCAATGCAGCTTTTTGAATCCTGAAGAAACAATCACAGCTGAGAAGTACTGCCAAGAAATTGTCCAAATGCAATAGAAAATGAAAAGGTTCAATCTAGTTGCACAATGAACACTAGAGAAATTGAATGAATCGTGCTATGAAATTGCCTCAGGAACCTTACTCACCAACTGATTACCACTTCTTCAAATATTTAGACAACTTCTTACAAGGAAAAGTTTTCAACAATTGTTGTCCAAAATGCTTGCAGAGATTTTATTTTTTTAAACCTCTAATTTCTTTGCAACTGAAATAATTAAACTGGTGTCTTGTTAGCAAAAATGTGTAGTCTAATGGTACTTATTTTGATTAATAAAAATTCTTCTGAAGTAAAATCCATCATTTTAAAACTAATGGTTAAAACCCTACATTTTCTGAATAAGCTAATACAAAAAAAAGTCATGTCAAAAACCAATATTTGCTCTTCAGCATATGGAGCCAAAAGCAGGTAATGATCAATGTAACATGAAAGGAACGGGTGCATTGTAAATATATATCCAAGAACTAGCCTTTTCCAATTTGCAGAATTAACTTTATTAATATTTGAGAACTTACACTAAAAAGGAGAAGAACATTTATCTTGGGTATTTTTTGTAAGTGCTATTTGACGTTGAGAGGTGGGGTCAGAGAAAAAAAAAATGAGTAAAACAGCAAACAAAAATCTGTTAATTTGACCGAATTTCGTATTAGAGGGACCCCAAATATTTTTTAAAAAGCATGTCAAGTTTAACCTGTCTGTTACTTATAATATTCATTTTAACAAGATTCCACTGACTTTCCTGGCAGAAAAAGCAACTATCCAGAACTGATCATCTAAATTTAAAAGAATATAAACATGTGAGTTTCGGTTTTAATTTTAAACGATCATAACTGTTTCTGGACAAATACTTAGAACTAAGAAGACAAACCAAAGTTAAACCAGTTCTGAAACCCTGAGATTGTCTACTCTCAAACTATACAGAAAATATTACTTGGGAAATGTTCTAAAAATATCAAAGGTCCACTGTGGTTGATGCATAACGTTATCAACTGATCTGATATGTTCTATACACACCAAAAGTAAAATCCAGTATGTTTTCAAATAAAAGCAATAATTGCATCTGCTCCTGAAGTATGGACAATTTAGCCAATGTTTACAAACTCAAAACAGTAGTTGTCAGGAGCAAATTCTAAAATCTATTTCACTTATGTGCTTATCTCTTTTCTACTGAAGCGCCTAGGACCTAACATCTTGGAGCTTAAAAATGCATAATTATATAGTTTAGAAATTTAGACTTTTATTCAAAATCTTAATTTTTTTCAATTCAGATGCTCACCATAATAAATCTACAATGGAATTCAGCAGTGAAATATGAGTATTTTTTAAAATTATATTATTGATTATACTACATTACAAGCAATTTATTATTATTCGAATTGTTTTCCTAAATGATAACAACTGAAGATGGCTGCAGGTCATTTTGTGAAAATGGTGCATCAAAAAGCCACATTTTTATTGTTGAGGATTAACTTTACTTTCTCAAATAATTTGTGCTGGTATAACTTCAAAAATCTATTTCAGATTATTTAATCTGATATTATAGCTAATAAGGAGCCTAAAAAAATTATCAAATTATCAATTTCACTTATAAAAACGTCAAACAATATCAAAATGCATTTAAAATTCCAGGTTTAAAACTTTTTTTGTAAATTCTGGTTGTCTGGAATGTTAGTAACTAAGTAACATTGAAAATAAACGAAATTAACCGATTTAAAAACAAATTCATATTTTTTATTTCATGAAAGTTAGAAGAGTTATCTTTCATCATCTTTCAAAAATTAAGTCAGAAAGATTATTAAAGACTTCACAAAATACATGAATTAGTAAAAGATTTCGTTTCTGAATATAATTAGAACCAGACGTTGTTCCTAGAAATTATTTTTTAGCGAGGTGATTAGTTTACTTTAAATAATTCTTGATTTTCGACTTGCTCTTATTTAGTTTTACAGTTTCTTTTTTTTAAATTTAACTAAATTAGTTTTAAACACTAATAATGTTTACAATTATTGTGTATGATTCATATTTATTTCCAATAAATTCCATGAAATTGAAAAATTTTTTGTTACTTTTTATTTCAAAATTTTCGTAAAATGACGTTTTTTAGATGTTGGCAATTTTAAAAGCTGGCATCTTAAATCAGCAAATCAGTAAAAACACCATCTTTAACTTATCGATTACGACGGTAAATTTTAGCATCATGCATAAAAGACACACAAACATTTTAATGAAGAAATTGTTTGTCATCATCATTTTACATTTACACTAATTGTTTCGACTTTGACAATTATTACACAAAGTGACAAACAGTATTTGTACTTCAAATTTGGATCATTTTTTTTTTGTTTCTATAACAAAAATTACGACTTTTAGCGAAGTGTAAAAAAATTCAATGTCAAATAAAAATACTGTAATAATTGTATTGTAATTTTTAACTAGTTGTGTTTGTTTTCCCTCTTTTAAGAATGCTAGTATTTAGTTTACATTGTATTTATTTTTTAGCTGTTTTTTTTATTCCGAACTTGCATGAATGTATGGAAGTAAAATAAATTTTAAAAATACTTTTTGAAGATTTGAAGGTGTTTTGTCGTAACAGAGAGTGCACTCACTCATAGCAGCCGTGAGGACGTTAAAAACTACAAGATCATTATCGTCTTTCTTTACGCTAAACAATCTGGCTCGGTCTTTTAGGTTATCGACTTTATTTACCCAGAAGGAAGAAAGAATTAAACCGGCAGATTGAATTTAATCAGCGTTAAATCCGACAAGTAATGGAGGGAGGTAGCAAAATCAAGTAACGATGTTTTTTGTTTTCATGTAAAAATCATGCGTCTTGGTCCACGTTGATTTTATTGCAGTTGCTAAGGTTGTTTCGAAAATGGACTTAATCTCGCTTCACTTAACGCTTCAATTTCATTTATAAAATTATAAAAAAAAAAAAAGAAAAAAAGAGACATATAGTCAATTTATTGAACTAAATAATAAAATTTAAAAGGAAAGATTGAAAAAAAAAAAGACTACAGACATGGTCACCAGTCATTTGAATTTCTGTCTGATCACATTTTTATTTTTCGCTGTACTATTCTTTGAGGACTCTTCACTTCTTTATTGCATGTACTGTAAAATCTGTTTAATGAATGATAGGATGGAATTCTATCACCAAAAGTTCTAACAATTATTATTTTTTTATTTTTACATAATAAAGTTTTTTGTTGCTAGTGTAAATAAAAAAAATCATTGCAGCTACAAGAAAATTTATTACAAGATCAAACACTAAAATATTTCAATAAATAAATGTAAAAACTTCTTTTTAAATAAAAGAAATAAAGAGTAAAGTCAGTTTGTTAGGTCAGCCTAGCGCTTACAAAGTTAGTAAAAGATTTTAAATAAACCCTTATAGCTCAGTGAAATAATAATAAAAAAACTCGGAAAACATTGAAATTTTCTCTCTCTCTCTAGTCTTTACTCTTTTTAGTCTTTGGGACAATTTTTGCGCGCCTGAAAACATACGTTTCTTCATCTTAGTAAAAGCCTCTGAGATCTTAATGATTGAAATGAAATTAAAAAGTCGTTTACGAAAATTTATTTTTGTATTTTTTAAAAATGCTACATAAAAAATTATTGTAGTATCTTAACACAATGTTAAATCACAAAGAGAAAAGTAATAACAACCAAACCATTTTTTTAAAAGTTTTAAACAAAAATAAAATAAAAATCTTTGTTTTGTAGTAAAGTACTCGTTTTTAAAATTTGTATAAAAAACTAAGACAAGATGAAATCACTGTGGTGTTTTTAAAATGTTTAAAAAATGATATTGAAAAGAAAAAAAAATCAGTTTCTGGTGGTGAACAGTTTTTTTTTTGTTTGTGTGACTGAAGCAATAGACAACTTTTCACATCTGAAAAAGAACAATAATAAAAAGATTTAAGCATGTTAAAAGTGAGTATGTGGAAAAGAAACTAAAACAAAATTCATAATTAACAAACATTTGTAACATTTGTAGTGATTTAACAAAAAAAAAAAAATATGAGAACTAATTTTAGCTTCATGTGGTCTGTTTGCCTTGAAAATCAGCATACAATTACATCGTTTTCATCTGAACCCAACCACTGGCGCTGACGATAAAAAAAATACACTACCAGTTACCAACCCACGCTGGTAGTGGTTACGTATAAAAATATTAAAAAGTGATAAAAATAAATAAATAAAGGATAACTTACCAAATTTATGAGGTAATTCAGTTTCTTTTGGTATCTAAATCCAAACCAACGACAGATGAAACAAATTCTTGAAATAGACCAGACGAATACAATAATGAAATCCAAAATGAAATGAAATTTTATATTTTAAATGTGTAAATATCTTATTTTGCATAAACGTCTTTGTATATATATATATATATGTATGTATATATTTTTAAAGAAAGAAAAATGTAGATTCTTTTTTAAAGAAAGAAATATAGTCTATTGTTCGATTGTGAATGTAAACAACCGAAAAAAAACAAACTGCATAAAGAAATTGACAAAACACTTAAAAAAAACAGAAAATGTTTTCCCCTTTCTTAAAGAAATAATGAAAGACTGGTGAAATTGTAAATGAGATCAATAAGGCACTTATTCAATCATTTCAAAACAAAGTTTATTTTATTTCGGTTATTCAACCACCCCAAATTATTAAAGATCAACTAAAGAAGTAATTTTTTTAGTGTGACCAATGACTGACCGATGGTCAGTAACGGACGCCATCAATTGTTTGAAGACAACATGACCCCACGCTTTTTTGATCATACTGTTTTTTTGTTGTTTTATATATTTTGATGGTCACAAAATCATTTTAAAAAAGTTAATTTGCAAGATATTAAAAAAAATAAAAAATTTAGTGTGTTTTATGTACTTTTTATCATTTGTTTTTAAATAGAAAAAATATTCGCGATTTCTTTTTTCCCTCCTTTTTATTTAATTATGTTTTTGTTTTGATTTTTTTTAATCTCACGGTTTGTTTAGGATACTGCTGCTGCTGTGTGAGAAAGAGGAGGAGGAGGAGGAGGAGGAGGAATTTGTTGGGGGGGAAAATGTTACCACCTTAGATGTCAACTTGCCATTAGGGAGAATATGTTGAGATTTTGCTAGACCTGACCTTCTCTATTACGAAGATTCTTGGTCAGCAAAAACATAATGACATTGTCTTTTTTGGAGATCTATCCAGGAAAGAAAAAAAGGTTTGTTGTTGTACGAAGAAGCTCATAGTATAGCTACTACCACAACAACAAGCACAACGAATTAACACAAACATATCATAATCATTATTCCAATTCAGTCCTTCAACAATGTTTTTGTTTGTTGATGGTTTTCGCTTCTTTTTAGGTAATCCAGTCGTTTGCAGTAGTCATCTAGAGAAAAAAGAAGAATCCGATGGCATTGGTTTACACCATTTTTTGTAATGTTGAGACATGAAGTAAATATCCACTTGCAGCCTAATCGTTGAAGTAAAATAATAGCAAAACAGCTATTATGTAAAATTCCGGACATAAATATGAATAGGAAACCGTAGAAAATAATATGTATCCTTTATGATGATGATGATGGCTAACAAATAAGGTTCATCTTTTTTCCCTTAATAACATTTCAAGCATTAAAAGAAAATAAAGAGTTGCGAAAGAGTTGATGTTGGTTTTGTTTGTTTTTTTCCCCTTTTTATAGAGTGTTTTGTTCAAAAGAAGGTGGTGTGGCGCGACAAAGTCATCATGATCAAATTGAAATGAAGACAAACATAGCGACACAACCTGCCACCTTTGTTGTCGTACTTGTCGTCACCTTCAGGCAACAACACTCCATTCTTTAAAAGAGATAAACTAGCGGTAAAAAAACTCCATAAAGGACAACGCTCTGGTTAAAGAGACGTCGTCACATTATTACGGCGTCGAGGATAAAGAGCTGGATAAAAAGAAATATGGATTGGACATTAACATCGTTACCACCATCTACGCACGACAACGACGACGTGCTTGAAGGAGGAAGGCGAAGAGATCAACTTGTTTACAATTTGGCTGTAGTCAATAAACACAATTAGTCCAAATGGATTCCCACTTTGTCAGATAGACAAAGATAATGGTTGACAGCTGCTTGTACGTGTTTTCAATGCATTTCTTATCGATTGTGATTTTCTACGCAGTTTTTAAAATATACAATATCGACTTGGTAGTAATCTGACGGGACTTTTAAGTTTTGATCATGGCGGAATGGCAGCCCATAATTATTTTAACTGCGGAACTCTCATTGACGTTAGACATATGTTGTTGCAACTTGTTATGTTTGTAAACCGATTATATTTAGTAGCATAATTTGAATCATATACACCAACAATAAAATTTTCTATATTTTTCTGTTTAAAATAAAAAAAATATATTTACATTATTTTTTGTTTTGATTATTGTTTTATTTTTTTCAGATGTACATCCGGTTTGTTGTTATGGCTTAATATTTTTAAGTATTTATCATTGTCGTTCTCATGCGCTATTTTGATTTTTACGGTATTTTATTTAAAAAAAATATTGCTTCTCTTTAAATCCCATTGTTCACATACAATTTGAAGAATGAATGTTATTAGTTTGAAATGTATTGTAAGTCTTTAGTAATTATTTGTAATAAATTGATATTTTAACTTAGTTTACTTTAAAAGAAATATTTTGTTTAGTTTTTTTATTTATTACGCAGAACTGTAAGAAGTATAATTATGTTTATAATCTGAATATTACAACTTAGCAATTGATAATTTCCAAAAATAATAAATATTGTGTATTAATTTATAATAATTTCACAACTAAAATTTTTCATTGAATCTATTCATAGGCTATAAGAAAAGTTTTTTTACGAGTCTAACGTAGTTGTTAAATGTTAAGTTTAAGTAAATAAAAAAGTAGTAATGATTTTTACTTTATTGCTCCTTGATTTTACTTTTTGAAATTTCCATATAAATTTGTAAATTATGAAAATAGAAATGTGCATTTTATTTAGAATACATTGATCTTTCTTTTGCAACTAATAAACGTATTTTAATTCAATTTAAAAATTAAAAAAAGTTTACAATATGGTTAATTCCGCCATCTTGAAAGTATTTTTCAGCAAATAAACTAAAAATAATCTGAAAATTGTTGCACTTGCATTTTTAATCAGAATGAGTTACGTTTTTATTTTTTTTCGTTTTTTTTTTAATTGTGTTGGGGATTTCCTACTAACTTCAGTAGACTGAGTTTTGTTTTCAATCAATAATATTTCTTTTAAATAATTTTAAAGCAGAAGAAAAATGTCCCGATGATTTATGGTCAACCTAACTGTTTGAATAAAGCACGTGTGGTGACGCGGGTAACCCGGTAAACATATACACGTGTAGATATTCCTTGTGGTTGAAGGATCATAAAAATAATTGATTATCTGTACTGTTTTTTTAGCGTTATGCACTTCATATTCCACGTACAAGTTTTTTTGCTCAATAATAGCACAGATTTCTGCAAAGATTTACGTTTTTTAAAATATTCTCTAACGCTACATATCTTTTTTATGATTGCTTAAATGCTTGTATTCCCTGTTTTTATGATTGCTTGTTTATTTCTGTTACGGCAATATCACAGTGAAACATCGGTTCTTGACCGATCACCGAAGTTAAGCAACGTCGATCCTGTTCAGTAACTAAGAATAAGATGGATGACCGCTTGGGAATAGGTGCATTGTGTATGTGTGTGTGTAGGGGCGGTGGGGTAATGGACAACGGATCAGAATGAGGAATCGTCGAGTCGAGTTCATTATATCCTTTACCCCTGGGAAAGGTATGAATCAATCTCTTCTCCCTCCAGCTATAGGTCAAATAGCAGGATAGACTGGGTTCTATAACCTTGGTTGGCAACCAGCCTGATGCAGAAAGTAACGGCAAACTACTGCAGGAATTCTGCCAAGTCAATCATGAATCGAAAAGGGACATGATTGCCCAAGTATGCTTCATACATGGAAGCTAAGGATTTTTATTTCTGACACTGCCATGCAAATGCATTTCATAAAACATGAAAATGGATATAAATATATCTGAAACACTGGCATACTAACATTTTAGGCATAGTCTCTCATAAGATTAAAAAAAAGCATAACTTAGGTGGTTTGCTTGTAAAAAAAAATATTTTTTGGCAGGTTGGGGAATAATTTTTATATGTTAGGCTTCCCTCGAGCCACAACATTTGTCAGAAATAAAAAAAAAATATTGATTTTTTTTATCATTTTATAAGGAGTTATCTGTACTTTGTTTTTATTTACAAATATCAATTTTGAAACTGCTTATGTCATTATTAACTGTTTTTCCCAAGTCATAATAGTATATCCCTTCTGAGTTTATACCAACTTAAAATAAAATTTAATTAACCTATAATTTATGGAGAAAAAATTTTCACAGCATTTAAAACATATATCAATAATCTGCAAAGTTTCAGCTTTTAAGCATGTATAGTTATTAGAAATATACTTAAGTAACACGCTTTAAAATAGAGCCAAGTTTTTTTCTGTTTAATATTCATGTATTCTTGTGTTCAATATGTCCATGTGTCATGAATAAAAGATAGCATATCAAATAGTCAGTTTGAGTAAAAGTCTGAGTTATAATAGTAAAAGGAGTCATGAAGAAATCTTCCCGTGTCTAGTCTATTTCCTTTTGTATAAAAACAGCTTTCAGGAGAAGAAACTGGAATAAAAGAAAATAATTTTGGTAAAATCCACCTCAATTTCTTGCACATGTACCATTTTTCCACCAATGTTATTTGAATCAGGATGTGTGAAATCATTCAAGAGTTTGCAAATGGAAACAATATGGGACCCAGGGTTGACAGCTATATGACAGCACTGAAATACATACTGCTTTGTAGATGGTAACCTTACTCTTACTAATTAAATTCCTGTATGGGAAGCCATCAAAATGCTGCACAGGCAAGTTAAACACAGCACTGAATTTCCTCTGTCAGAGCATGACTGTTAGCAAGCACAGGGCTAAGTTATATGATCATGCTCAAATTGAGGACAGAATTGTAGTTTGCTGAAAGATCTCAGTTTTCTTGTTATTAAACCAAGAGATGATTATAGATAATAATGTATACTTTTTTACATAGCTTTTAGAATGTATTTTGGCTAGTCTGTTGCATTCACTTTCATAAAAATGTTTTTGGAAAAGGCATGAATCTGCCTCTTTTCTGCCTAACTATAGGTTAAATAGCAGGATAGATTGGGTTTTCTAGCCTTGGGTGGCAACCAGACTAAAGAAAAAAAATTCTGAATTTCAAACTGGAGATAGCAACAGAAGACCACTCCACTATTTTTCGCAAGAATGCATAGCAATTCACAGATATTAGTGAATAGGAAACTGTGGAGACTCATGATCGTCTATGTTCTGAAGGGAAATGGAATTGTATTAATATTAAATATAAAGCTTATCCTTTATTTCAGTTCCTTGCTTCTTACTAATGACCTCAGATTTTTATTTTTTGTTTTTTATGACTTATCAAAATTTTGTAGGTTATATAAAGCTGAAACATATTTTTAGGACTGTAAGAATAATTTTATTTTTTTTGTTTTGCAAGGGAATGTTGCATTAAATGTTTTTTGTTTTGGAGAATAACTAATTCTTCCAGATACACATCCTACTATTTAACCCATAGCTGGGGGTAATGATCTAGGAGAAGTTTATTTGTTGTTTTAAATCCAAACTGTTTACTAATAGTCTGGAATTTTAATGAAAAACAAAAGGAATCAAGATAAATACTACTTTGATATTTGTGTTCTAAAAATATGTTGAAGGAATTAGTTTTTGTCATTTCTAACAAGAGTATTCAGAGATTGTATAACTCAAATATATCTAAACTTACAGAGATTATGTAACTTAAATATGTCTAAATTTGAAACATTCAGTTTTCATGTATGCCAGCACATACATGGTGTGATGGGTAAAGTATCAACATTTAATATTTTTAATTTCATGCATGTGCATTGTTTGTTCTTGATTTTGTTGATTACACAGTATAGTATGGGTCAGTTGGTCACTGTTGTAAGAAAAAGAGCAGCATGACACAATTCACTCTGCCAGGAATTTGGAAACAGCATGCTGTACTACCTGGCATTTGCGCCAGAAGCTCCAATATGAACATTTCAGAGTGTTTGGGTGTCAATCTGAGGGCAGTGTAGAGGATTCAGAAAGAGTTGGATGAGTCTAATGGT